TCAGTGCTGAGGGAGCGCCGCACTGTCGGAGGGTCAGCGCTGAGGGAGCGCCGCACTGTCGGAGGGTCAGTGCTGAGGGAGCAGGCACTGTTGGAGGGTCAGTGCTGAGGGAACGCCGCACTGTCGGAGGGTCAGTGCTGAGGGAGCAGGCACTGTTGGAGGGTCAGTGCTGAGGGAGCGCCGCGCTGTCGGAGGGTCAGTGCTAAGGGACTGTCAGATTGTCGGAGGGTCAGTCCAGAGGGAGTGCTGCATTGTCAGAAGTGCTGCCTTTTTGATAACGTGTGCAGACCGAGACTCAGAAATAATTCACTATCATTCATTTCGTAACCTTTTGTTCATGGCTAAAGTCCTAATTCTCTGAACTACATTGCAGAGGAACCTGTACTGGAGCTCTAACTGCATCAGTTGGAAGTTTGCATGTTGAACAGTTTCCAGCCTGCTGTGCCAGCATCAGTCACCTCCCGCCCTCAGAGACAATACCTCCAGATTTTCTTTCGTCTTCACTTGACCTGGGACTCCTTCTCAATGTCACAGTGAATTTGCCGTCCTGTATTCGTGCCTCAAGCTGCTCAGGTGCGTCGTGCACCTGCTGCCTACCCTTTGCTCACCACTGAGTGTCAGCAAATAACCCTCATCGACTGCTTGGATCTTAAAGAGGGCAAATCCTGAATAGGTCACTTTCTGATCGTCCCTACAAACCCCATTTGTCACCTCAGCGGTTAAAACCGTCCCTTTATGGCAATATCGGGGCACGTAGTAGCCCCGATATTGACACCAATCTCAATGCCAATTTCTCCAATTCCCTCATAAACACTTATATCATGCGTGTTGAGACACTGATTAGTTTCTCTCTTGAAGCTTCATTGATTGAACTTTCACGGTCCTCTGGGATATAAAATTCCAATGACTCCCCACCCTCCAGGTGAAGCTATTTCTCCTCACCTCAGTCTTATGTTTCCTGATGGTAATCATCCTGTTGACATCCACCCTGTTGCTCTCTGTCAGCTTTTTCTAAATTTCAAGTTAATGACCTCTCATTGTTTGAAACACCAGAGAATGTGAATGCAAAAGAAACGAATGGACCGCGGATGCTGGGAATCAGAAACAAAATCAAACAGAAATTGCTGAAAAGACCAGCAGGTCTGGCAGCTTCTGTGGAGAGAAAGCAGAGTTAACATTTCGGGTCAAGTGACCCCTCTCCTCAGAACATTCTCCGGTTACCTCAGTCTCTCATCATAAAGCAATCCCACCATCGCAGGGATCAGGTTAGAGCTCTGAAGAAGAGTCACTGGACCTGAAACGTTAACTCATGCTTTCTCTCCACAGATGCCGAGTTTTCCCAGCAGTTTCTGTTTTCTGCGTCCACCATCCTCAGGATTAGGTTTGAGAAAATTCTGTTGCACTCCATCTATGTGCTTGCTTTGATAAGGAGACCCAAACTGGTCCACAGTACACCAGGAGAGGTCTCAGTAAGGCTCTGTACAAATGCAGTAAGTCATCTTTGATTCTATTTGTTTGCGCTGAAGACCAATGTACCATTAGAGCCCTGGTTGCACCTACAAATAACTCGCACGCACCCCACTCACCCATATTCAGATCCATATTGAATAACTTGTATTGCAGAAGTAGGTCATTTGGCCCATCTGCTCTATGCCAGTGCTCATGCTACTTGTGAACCTCCTTCTGCCCCAGCTTCACCTCACCCCAGCACCATAACCTTCTACTTCTTTCTCCCTCATGTGTTTATCCATTTTCTCTTTGACTGTCACTCTATTCACAACCTCACCCTGTTGCACAGAGTTCCATGTGCTCACTACTGTCTGCAGACTCCCCCTGAGTTCCCAATCGGGTGTGTTTGTCATGAAGTTTTATTGATGGTCCCCGGTTCTGGTCTGGTGAAAGTGTTTACTTGTTTCTGGGAAACAGGTTAGGAGCAGTCACCCAAGACACAAGATCAGCAGAAAGGACTCCTTTGTTTAAGATCTTACAAATTTATTGTCACAATTTATTACAAATCATCGGGCATTTGTAAACACTTGAATTTCCATCACCGAAAGCCTGTGCCCCTTTTAATTGGAGTGTGAACCTTTACAGAGATCTCAGCAGGATGTCTCAGTGCGATCAGACTGCCATCCCTGTCTCGCACACTTTAACCTCAAAAGTGTACCCTGAACTCAGCTGGCCCTAATGTTACTCCTTCTCATCCTGCACTCAGAAGCAATCTACTTGCGTTCTTCTTCAGAGGGGCGCCTGAGCTTCATATCCTCGTATGGCTGTCTTAAAACAGCACCTCCTTTAGGTTGTCGCTAGTATCGTCTGAGCTTCAATCAAACATCCTCATACAGCTGTCTTAAAACAGCGATTATAGGAACTGCTGATGCTGGAGAATCTGAGATAACAAGGTGTAGAGCCGGATGAACACAGCAGGCCAAGCAGCATCAGAGGAGCAGGAAGGCTGACGTTTCGGGTGGGTCCAGACCTGAAACATCAGCCTTCCTGCTCCACTGAAGCTGCTTGGCCTGCTGTGTTCATCCAGCCCTGCACCTTGTTGTCTAAGATGTAGAGCTGGATGAACACAGCAGGCCAAGCAGCATCAGAGGAGCAGGACCCTTCATTTCTGAAGAAGGGCCTCAATCCAAAATGTCAGCTTTCCTGCTCCAATGATGCTGCTTGGC